GAATGATTTACGAACTAATATAATAGATTATCAAATACATCACATGTTTTAAGTAACGAATATTCACGGTTTCAGATGTGTTAGTTGCTTATGTCCGCAGTCGGGAGTGGTGGATTTGATTAGCTACTCAGGTCTCGGTTTTAGATTGATGACTGACACATATGGTGTCATTGTGGATAAACGGTGTTATGGAGCCACGAACGGAGAGGAGCAGGCATGACATTGTATTCAGAAGTCAGATGGGATTGAAATCATTTTCAGTTTTTCATTGTCAGCCGACAACCCACAACCTATTGTTTGCTTCTTCATCCGACAGCTTTCATCATGCAAACATGTTGTCAGAGAAGCCACATTCCATGGCTGTTTTGTGGCAAAGACATCCCCGGCTAAAAATATCCCCAAGCTTCCGGGTGCTTTGTTTTTTCTGGTTTTTTTGTTATTTTATTTGATTTAAGATTTTTTTTTTCTTTCCTTTTTCTCTTTGTTTACAGTGTATTATTCCTTTTCCAGACATCTGCTCGTAACTTCATGCCAATGCTTGGCCCCCTGACAGAGAAGACAATCCACGAGCTACTAGTTACTTAGTGACAAAGTATTTTATCTATGAGCCACGGGAGACTGTCGTGTGCCGCGCGCCAGATTCCTGATCTGTTGAATCTCCCTCCGATTCGGGCAGGTTCATAGAAATCAAGGCGATGAGGTAATCTGGCATGCGCACGCAGCCAACGTGAGGATGCCGCCCCGTTGGTGTAACAACCAAGCCCTGCTTCCAAAGACGATTGCGGTAATTCATTGTCGGTCAAGAGACCTTTCTGCTCTCCCGTATTGGACATACTGTGTAAGTGATGTATGTATATGTACGTGTGTATGATATTTATTATTATCATTAGCTAACTAGGCAGACGCATAAAATTGGCCGTTCGCGACTAGATGATTTTTCATGTCTTGGGTCTTATCTGGTGCGCGGAATGACCGGCTGTCAACTCGAACCAGTTTTTTTTTTGCCCTCGAGGACTAACTAGTCCGGTTGTTAGTAGATAGGACCTTTCCGTTTGCTGATTTGATTCCGAGGAACAAGGCCCATTTGGTTTAAGACATTGTGGGTGACCGAGTGAGCACCAACCGGGGTTTATTTGTTGTGGATTTAGTCATAGGGGGGGGGACCACATGGAGGGGGACACTTGGGTTATGAGCTATGTAGATACCTGCCTAGTAGGCGCTGCGGGATATTTGGTTGCTCATGAAGATTTTAAGCGAGCACGAGATTTAGTAGCATCTTGGGTCTGGGGAAGATTGAAGAAGGGAGAAAAAAGGGGAGAGTTTTCTTAGTTTTATGTGGATGAGCGCACCCTTCTCCATGATCAACCCCAAGGATTTCCCTGTTTTCTTGCAGTGTCAGGGACAGACCGGGCAGCGCTAGACGAGTAACTCACTAAGGACTACTAGTGTATTGCTCGGGGTGCTTAGTGGCCCAAAGCAGCGCCTGCCGATAAGGAACAGCAAGAAATCAGAAAGCAGAACTCAACGGAGGGAATTAACTTTGGGTGGAGTGGAGCAGGGTCCTGCTTAGAGACTAGCGCACTAGTAGGGGTCCTGGGGCAGATCAGGGATTCGTCCATTGAGAGCTTCCCAATCCAGAAAGAACGACGGATCCTGCATGGAAGTTCTCCCGTACCGTGATGGTAAATACCGCTCTTACTTTACCTTTCGCCATGATCGGTCCGAGGGCTCTTATCAGGGCAAGGGAAGTTCGGGGGGAGAGGTGACCTGGGATACCTAACAGATCATCGGGCCAACAACATGCCAGATGTAGTCAGTGGGCATCTTTTCCAGCTGGGTCATCACGAGTTACTCGGATAGCTAATCTAAACAAAGGGGTTAGAAAAACCCCCGGGATGTCTCTCGGTCTGCGTGAGGGGGAGAGGGGAAAAGACAACGTTCTCGAAAGGTTCTCGTGCTGCTCTGCGGTTGCTGGAAACCGAATACGCCGTATGAGGCCGTGCATTACCAGCAAGGTGAAATTACCTGACGGGTGGCTACGAGTCCCACCGGAACCGCATTCGCATTGAACCGTTCCTTCCACAACGAGAGAGCGAGAAAGTGAAGAGCGCCGACTTTCTAGGCAAGTACTAGAGCTATATAGTATGTGACTTCTCCTTTTCCTCCTCCCAATTCGGGTGACTTCCTTCCTCATTGTACTCGTGGCACAATCCCGGGCTCGTTCTATCGTTACTTCTGCTCTCTTCCCGGTCGTCTTCGTCTTCTTCCTCTTCTACTCTCTTTACTCATTCTCCTGCCCAGTACTCCTCATCCTCATCCTTTTTTCTATCCATCTCTCCCTCGGCGGTGATACGGCGATAAGAATACTACTTCACTTACCTCCCGAACTACCCGCGGTCCCTCATTTATCGGCGCAACTTGTGATTGGACTCCACTTGCATAGCCCTCGGGTTTCCCATTACTTAATTCTCTCGCCGTCTTTATATAGAAACCGGTATCTTTATTCTTCACTACGGTAAAATAAAGGCCAGGACTGAAATTCGGTATGCCCCAACTTTCCTGTGCCACTCAGGCACAGCCAACATTAGAGCCAGTGAATGTTGCGCCTAAATGTATTCTTAAACTAACGGTTTCCCTCTTCAGTGTTGTCTTGCACATCTCCAGACCAATCTCCTAGTGTCTTGTTATACAGACATCTACTTCCTAAATTCCAGATCTTGCACTGAACCCTGTCCGCCACAATGGTGCGGTACACTTCTTCCATTCTCTTGGCCTCGTTGGCCGCCACTTCCGTCTGGGCTACCTCGTCCCCTCCTTCATGCAGTACCAGCTCTCAGTGCCCCGAAGAGTATCCTTGCTGCTCTCGTGCGTTGGTCCCTTTTCTAATATAGCCCTATGTGGTATTACCCTCATCCGCTAATGCTTGTTTAGAATATGGACAGTGCGGTACTGGTGCTTACTGCTTGGGTGGTTGCGACCCCATCTCGTCATACTCTCTAGACTCTTGCGTTGGTGAGCCCGTGTGTGAGAGCAAGACCTACAAGTGGGACTCTCTCGATAGTGCCGCGCTGAACACCAAATACCTCGGAAATGCGTCCGAATACGACTGGGTCTACAGCGGCTACCCCAAGTTGGACGATGGTAATCTTCTCCTCACGATGCCCAAGAACACCGTCGGTACGCTCTTTGCGAACAACCACTACGTCTGGTACGGCAAGATTTCCGGCAAAGTCAAGAGCAGCCGTGGTGCCGGTGTCGTCACGGCTTTTATCCTGCTTTCGGACGTCAAGGACGAGATCGACTTTGAGTGGATTGGTGCGGATCTGGTCAATGTCCAGACCAACTATTACTGGCAGGGTGTTCTGAACTGTAAGCCTAACATCGTCCCGAAGGCAATGCCCCAAACACGCTGCTAACATGCCTTGTGCAGACAACAACGGCGATAAGGATGCAGTCAATGGAAGTGATACATTCGATGATTGGCATGAGTATGAGATCGACTGGAAGGAAGATGCGATTACCTGGTCGGTGGATGGTGAGGTGAAGCGGACTCTCACCAAGGAATCGACCTGGAACGAAACTGCGAAGCGCTACCAATACCCCCAGTCCCCATCCAGAATGCAGCTTTCCCTGTGGCCCGCCGGCCAAGCCAGCAACGCACCAGGAACCATTGAGTGGGCGGGTGGCGAAATCGATTGGGACAGCCAGGACATTAAAGACAAGGGTTACTACTATGCCACGTTTGGCGAGATCACTGTTCAGTGCTACGATGCCCCGAATGGCACTGTTTCGAACGGAAACAAGTCGTACATGTTCACCAACAAGGATGGGCTACAGCAATCGGTTCAGATCACCAACAATGACACCGTTCTTGCATCTTTTGGCGCCACCGGTCTCGACATGGATCTTGGTGCCAGCGACTCCAGCAGCAGTAACGGAACTAACGGCACGGTTCCGGAGAACCAGGGAGGATCAGGAAACGTACCCGGCAGCAGCACCTCGAGTGGCAGCTCCAGTACCTCTTCTGGATTCAGCCAGGGCAGCAGCACCGACACGAGTGGTGCTCCCTCCCAGAATGAGCGAGTCATGAGAGGCTCATTCTTTGCTGCCTTGGTCGCAGTTGTCGTTCTGGTCGCTTTCTAAGGAGACTCGACAAGCAATCACCTTCTTCACTTCTTGGATATTCTTATTCACATAGCTCGATTCTCGGTGCATGCCCTTCCTTTACGACTTGTGGTTATCATTCTTAATCTTTTTTTTTACTGTTCTATACCTGGCGCTCCGAACGCCCGTCTTTGATCGGATCTTGTACCTTTATGTTTTTGCCCCCATTGGATGTCTTTATGGTTATTATGACTGCGCCTGGGTGGTCGCGTTTTTACTGTCATGGACATGACTTGAATACACATACTAATACCCCTTTTCCGCCGGGTAAACAGGTGCCCGGTAGCTGAATGTGTTTATTTTCTCTTTCACTGGTCTGGTGTTTGCATGGTAGATTATTGAATGCCAATGGGTCCATTTGGTCAGACAGACAAGCATACCGAAATAAGATTAATGTACATCACTTCTATTTCACCGGACGATACCGAAGAACAAATTACAACATACGAATAGCTACATGCGGGACTCTAACTTCCACAACTTGATACACCTACCCTTTTTGCCCTTCGCGACAATCAAAAAGACCAGCAAACTACGCTCTCCCCCACCCCCAACTCTAGCCCCTCTCCACTAAGCCCTTCCTTATCCTAGGCAACTCATCACCCACCCACCCAACCAACTAACTAAACGCCAAAACGTACATCTACCCCGGAATGATCCACCCCCGATGCATGCAGATACTACGTCTTCTCGCTGGTATCATTCTACTACGAGAGGCTTACCCAGCTGAATTGACGAATGATTCGAGGCGGAGGGGGGGGATATAGATTTCCGTTTCGGGGTGTGCTGGGGAGGTAGGTGGAGGGGTGAGCCTATTGTGGTGGGGATGGGAATGTATGGGGGTTGTTTGTGGGTCGTGGTGTTTCAGTAGCTGTGGGGGAATAATGGGTATGGGGGGGGGCGGTATTGGTGTTGCAGTGGTAGGGGTAGGTAGTTTGATACCTAACTAGGTAGGATGGGATGTAGGATAGTTGGGAAATGGTGAGATAGCATTTATTATATCTAGATACCTAGTGATAACTTGTATTATGCATTATACGAGTTTTTTTTTGCTAATTGTGGGCCGAACTTGGCTATGGTAGAGAACAAGGAAAGAAAAGCATTCTGATAAAATTTCGTATGAACTGATTGAGTGGTTAAACGCCAGAACACCCACACCAAAGTATTATGCAACATTGGTAATTTAGATCATCGTTTGTCAACGGTTGTATAGATGGCAGGATGGATAAATCATGAGTAAAGGTTTAGACGTGACAAATGTAGGGCGTGACTAAGTGTATTTATTAGCTTCAGTGGCTCTCGCCACAGCTGCAGCCTCGCTCGGAGAGTCCGCGCTTGCGGAACTCGCCGTGGTAGGTGTCTAGGCCTTCGGTTCGGACATCCTCGCCTAGAGGGTCGCCGAGCCAGCCATAGGGGCTATCCTCGGAAGACATGGTCCAGTAGTCCGATGAGAGAAGCTTTTTGGTCGTGCTCTTGAGGTCCAGGTCTAGGAAGTCGGCCAAGAAGGAGCCGACTTCGGTGTTCTCGTGGTTGCCTGCTAGGGGAAACGCGAGTTTCCCGGAGGCGTAGATGTTGACATCGACACCTGGTCTGAGGTTAGCTCGTGATCGAAGGGGGTTGATATAGATGGTGGTATCATACCGGAATGTCCGTGGGTCGCCCAACCAATCTGAGCCCTGCGGCTGACAATATCCGCAAAGACGTACTGGGGGTTATATGGGTAATTGGGGTCGAGAACGGCGTTAATCTCCTCGTCCGTGACATCTGTGATGCCAAGATCGTTCTCAATGAGGCTGCGGACGAACTTGTACTGCTTCTTGTCGTCCGTTTCAGTGGCGAGATAGTTCACTAGCTTCTTGTTGACGTACTCCGAAGAGTGACTGGCATTGGCCAGGACACCGGGAAGCCATTTGTAGTCGGGGTATTCAGGCTGTAGCTGACGCGCGACTGACAAGCCTCCAGTCTCATGGTCGGATGTGCTCACGACCACGCCCGGAGTCGAGTCCTGCTCTAGGAACTCCAGCACGGCCGCAAAGGCCTTGTCATATGCCAAAACTTCATTGACCTGTGCAGCCGGGTCGTTTCCATGGCCAGCATGGTCGATGCGCGAACCCTCAATCATGAGGAAGAAACCCTGCTCACTGTCGGCGGTGGCCTGGCTGAGTATCGTCAAGGCGGTACGGGCCATCTCCTCAAGAGAGGGGTACACGTCATTCTGGCTGCGGCGGTCGATCTCGAAGGGAATGTCTTTCTCCGCAAAGAGCCCCAGGAGTGGCAGTTTGCCTTCAGTCCCTCCATTCAAAGAGTCGAACCCGGCTCGATCATCCATGTAATGGTATCCACCCTCCTTCGCCAGCTCGACAAGGTCGCGGTCATCGCCCCGACAGCTTCCGTCAGTCGAGTTGGGCAAGAAGTGACACCGGCCTCCACCCATGATAAGATCCACCACACGGCCCAGCGGGTGCTCCCCGATTTCCTGTTCCGCAATCCGGTCTTCGTACTGTCGGAGATTCACATGTGAAGCAAAGCAAGCCGGAGTCGCATCGGTGATACGAGTCGTCACTACCAGCCCCGTCTTGTAACCAGCCAAGGAGGCAGCCTCAAGGACGGTGCCACAAGGCGAATGGTCAGGAAGCACGGAGATGGCGCCGTTGTAGCTCTTATGACCACACGAGAATGCCGTCGCACCGGCCGCGGAATCCGTCACAAGGCTGGAGCTCGATCGTGTACGGGAGGTTCCGACAAAGTGCTTGTCCAGGATGAGGACCTCGTCAGCGGGAAGCCCTTGTGTGAGTTGTTTGTAGCTCCTGGTCATGGACAGACTAGCGGGGCCCATGCCGTCGGACACCATGAAGATAAGGTTCCGTTTGCCAGTCGGCTTCGTCCAGGGATCTTTCGAGCGATCTGGGCCCCGACTAGATTCATGTTGGTAAACGACGGAGAGAACGATGACAGCTACCGTAGCAATGAGGGCCCAGGTGAAGAGGCCGAGCTCTTTCCAGAAGCTCCATCTGCGGCGTCGGTCACGGTCGGTGCGGATCCCGGTTAGCAGGGCGTCCTCCTCCTCGGCATTCCGAATGGAGGAATGGTCGGACGAGGGGCGTGAGGCCAAGAGAGGCTCTTCACGCGCCATAGTGTTGTGAGAGGCCCTCTTAGAGTAGATAGAGGAGAATTCAGATGAACAGAGAAGAATAGAACATGGGGGGAGGAGAGATGGGAGGTTGGACAGGAGGAGGTGAGCAACAGGCGGGAAGATCGTCCGGGGTTGCACTTGTTGGCCTGAGCTAAACCCCGATTAGTCCAGGCCGCCCTCTTGCTGTTTCGGGTATCGCGCCGCCTGGGGATCGCCGTCGACGTCACATGGAGTCTGCCACTAGTGATGCTGTATAGCACTAGACAAGTCAAAACTAGGCTAATTTCACAGACATATCATTATCTATTATACATACATACAAGAGTGGATGGGACATCACCAAGGGAAGATGACTCCCTCAAAATACAAACAACAATAACATACACAACGTTAGCCCCCAATATCACAGCGAGCCACCGGGTAGCCCCATAGTATCCAGGGTCCAACACCCCCTAATATGACTGCTCAGACACCAGCTCAGAAATGCCTCTACCTCCCCTTCCATCCGATTGGGATCATAGCCGCAGCAATCTCCGACACGCCTCTCTCCGTAGCCAACAGATTGAACTGCGCAGCAGCATTCCTCGTGTCCAACACTTCCACCCGAACTCCCAAAGAATTGACATGTCTCTTGGTCTCCGGCGACAGAGGGAACACAGTCTCTCCCATGCCAATAATCAACATATCTAGAAACCATCAAAATTCACAGGTTAGCCACATATTCCCAAGCATCCTAAGCTATAATACAACCACTCCCGTAGCCAAAAGAAGGAACAAAAGCAATAAACATACCCGGACGAGGCCAAACCAGATCCAAAATTCCCCACGCATGCTCCGGAACCTCAAACTGGCCCTTCTGATTGACCATACTGTTCTTCCCCGCTTCAGCACCTTGCCACGGCCGCCAGACGAAAGCTTCTCCGCCAACAAGGAACACTCCATCCCCACCGGTGATCTTGACGCCATTGTCCAGATGAAATCCCGTATCAAGAGTAGCGTCGATAGCGGTCGTCGGGGCAGGGATGTTTCCCAGCACGTTGAGGGCACTGAAGTCCGTCTGAGTGTCTTCCTTGGACGGCGGGCCGCGGTCTCGGCTGGAGGGCTTTGCGCTGTGAGCGCGAGGGATCATCCGGGTCGGACGGGCATCGTTGCTGTTGTAGCGGTGGAATGTGAGGGGGGAGGAGGTCAGTCGACTGAGAGGGGAGACGGAGCGAGATGCGAGCTGTGTGCAGATTGCGCTGCTGCTGCAGTTGGGGGAGATTGAGGTGCGCAAGGCGCGGAGGAGTTGGGGGGACGGGGGATGCATTGTTGGGAATTTGATGTCGTGTGATACTGCAAAGACGTTTGACCTCCTTAGGAATAGTATGGAGTATCAACAGGATGATAAAGTGTTCCGGCCCTGTGAGGTTTTAGAGGCAAGTTGTAGAAGTAGGCAGTATCCGTTGTCTGAAGAATTGTAAGAGCGGAGCAGCCGAGCTTGAGAAGTCGAGAATCCGGATGTTTGCTGCCTCAGGCAGCATAGCCCCAGCTTGACCGCAATTGGCCAATGGAACGCTCGCAAATAGTAACAGCTGTCGCAGCCATGTAAAGGATGAACTCTTCTTTAGTCAAACTACAGCCTTGAAGCAGATACACAAAAGAATCTTATGAAATTAAATACTAGAGGATGCTATCGATCAGTATCGTAAATGTCGTATGTCAAATGCAACTGGTCTAATAAATTTTATTCACGGTTCCAACCATTTTGTACGTCCCTTACCGAAACAGAAAAAGGAGGCGAGGTTGATGTTCGATATAGAATGACAACTGAACAATATGTCATGCAGTCGTGAGTGGCTTGGAATGCAATTGCACCTAAGGGAGCAATTCCAGGGAAGCGAAAATCCCGGGTATCCTGTCAAACCCAAAAAGAAACAAAAGATGCTATATCTCCCACCCCGTCAATCACAAGCGTTCAACGCGGGTGCAGAGATGTAACCGTCTGAAGTTGACTGGTTATACCTACTGAGTGCTCACCGAGCTGTCTCCTGTCCTTTGCGGCCATCGTCACCAGGTTTGTTGGCCGGCTTTCGGTCCTCATCGGACTGACTGGAACTGTCATCGGCGGCACCCGATGTGGATGCGCTACGCAAGCGTTGAGCACGATCTTGAAGCACTTGGGCTTCCGCGGCAGCCCTCTGGGCACGAATCTGTTTACGCCACATACTGGCATATCGACCTTTCATTGCCAGCAATTGATCGTGAGTGCCACTTTCGGCCACTCGGCCTTCATGCAAGACTACTATCCTGTCTGCTGTCGTGATGGTACTCAGTCGATGAGCAATAACAAGCATCGTCCGCCCACGGGAAAGGCTGGACAGCGCGCCCTGGATGTGCTCCTCTGTTTCTGTGTCCAGCGCAGCAGTCGCTTCATCCAGAAGAATTATTCGCGGGTTCTTGAGAATGGTCCGAGCAATGGCAACCCGCTGTTTCTCTCCGCCGCTGAGCCGGAGACCGCGCTCACCGACCTTAGTGCTATATCCATCGGGGAAGGACATGATCTTGTCGTGGATGCTGGCAGCACGGCAAGCTTCATAGACCTCCTCATCCGTCGCGTCCTGATTGGCGTACTTCAAATTGTACATCAATGTCTCATTGAAGAGCACCGTGTCCTGTGGCACAACACCGATGTGCTTTCGGAGCGAATCGATTGTGATACTTTCCACATCGTGCCCATCTACACGGATGCGGCCCCTCGTCGCGTTATAAAACCGGAAGAGTAGACGGAAAACAGTGGACTTTCCTCCGCCTGACTCACCCACCAGAGCTGTGGTTGTCCCGGGCTCGCAGCGGAATGTCAGCCCATTTAAGGCTGGTTTCCGGGTGTCATATGAGAACTCGACATTTTCAAACATGATATCACCCTTGCAGAGTGGCAGGGGCCTGGCGCTGGGTCGATCGACCACGGTGGGCTGCTCCCTGAACAGTTCCAACAACCGCTCTGAGTTTATCATGGCTGACTGGATGGAACGGTAGAAGGTGCCGAAGAAGTTCAAGGGCCCTTGCAATTGGGCCATGTATGTGAGGAGTGAAACAAACTGACCAACATCCCGCTGTCCTAACGATACCTGATAGGCCGCGATAAAGCATGCAATCAGCAAACCTAGCATGAAAACAGTGTTCTGCGATGTATTCAGCAGATTGAGGGAGAAGAGAACGTGATATTCGGCCTTCTGGAAGTCAGACACGGCATTTCTGTATCTGCCAAATTCATATTCTTCGGCATTGAAATATTTCACGGTTTCATAGGAGACCATAGAATCGTTCCTAGACATACTGTAAGCCTTGCAAAAAGAAAGAGTAACAGGTAATATCGAGTACTTACTTAACAGCGTCTTCTTGTCTGGACTTGTTGACCATCTCTCTGCGGATTTCCGCTCGCCATTGTGCCATCCGCACGGTGACGTAGAGATAGCAGAAAGTGACGATAGTCACCACGAGCGCATAATAAGCGTCTAGGAAGACAAGGAAGAAGACAATCGCAACACAGAGGTCAACCAACATAGGGACGACCTGAAAGGTTACTTGTTCGAGGAATGTGTTGATCGAACTGCCCTTGCTCAGGGCAGATAGCACTTCACCCGTCTTTTTCCCTAGGTGAAAATCGAGACTCAGACCGTGCACGTGCTCGAAAGCCGCTGTCGAAAGCTCCATGTAGGAGTACTGGCTCACAGGAATCCATAGATTAGACCGCAAAGAGCCGATAAGACCCTGGTTGCCCTGCAACCACCGGTAGAGAATGTAGAGACAGATGTTGAACCACGGGACTCTAAACTCGCCGTCTTGTTTGGAGAGCATGTTGGTAATGACACCTGCCTGGTAAGGAACCAGCACATTCACGATCCGTTGCAATACAATTAGCAGAAAGCAGATGACCACTACTATTTGCAAGCGACGGGATTTCGATGGCCACAGGTATGGGAAAAATAGTGAATAACCGCTGAGATACTCCCACCAACTAGTTGACGGAACTGTAGTCGGGCGAACCCACGGGTCGGTGGGCTTGGAAGCCTGCGCGTGACCATTCGTTGAGCCATAAGCATTCCCGTTTTCCGCGTGGTGGCCGTTGAGTAATCCCGTGGTCTCATTGACCCCATTGGCGTGACCATGAGCTCTTTTGGAGTTGAAGTTGATCGTATGAAACATGTACGACATGACCATAGCCATGAGGAACAGTACCCTGATACAGTTCAGGACCACCTCCGCCAACTCCCACGGCGTTATACCTTGTCTCAGGCGACCACCAACAGGATTCCCAACCACAGGTTCGCGGTGTACGTCGGAATAGATGGAGAGAGAGGTTCCTAGGATACCCAGCTCAATCGGAATCGCCACTAGCCATGGAATGAATTGGGCGAAGGTTGGAGAGGGGTTTGTATCCAACAGGGAGACAAGTATGATTGCGTAGTCGAAGAATGAGCCCACGACATAGATCTAGTGTCATTAGCGACGATGCCCCTCCCGTTTCTTGAGGTTCCAACCCAGGCTTGGGTCAGAACTAAAAGCTAAGGCAGAGGACTTACCACCACTGATTGGCCACACCACCAGTGTTCCGATCTTGCAATCATGACATGGGCCACATTAAGGGCACCATCTGCGGCAATTGTCAACAGTACCCCGACAGACAGCCACTTGAACAACAATTTTGTGCGTTCCGAGAACTTTTGCGGTGCCTTGATCACGGTCATTGTACTCCGGGACCGTTTGGGAAGTGGTCGCCCACCGGGACCTGTGTGAACGGCATTGGCGTTCTTGTTCGCATTTCTAGCCGTAACAATGGAGCTGGCAATGAAGGAGGCGACAAATATGAGGAGCAGGATAATGGGCGACGCAATGCGCAAGTACGCCACCATATCGCGAGTTGCGTGTTGGTAACCCATGATGTGCAGTCCTCCCACTTGGCCGATATAGTATCAGTAGACCATTTAAGGTATTTCCATGACCCAGCGACCACCTTCTTCTTCTATATTGACACCGAAGACCGCAAGATGCGAAAGATCCGCAATCGGTAAGATGACGGGGGATAACTTGTTATAAGATGGGTAGGAGGCGAAAGCTGCTCTGAAGTTTGGCGATCGAAGGAGCCAAAAGTTGTAATGGACTGGGGGTGGATCGACAAACACGTGGGAAGAGTAGCCTCTTTTTCGATCTTCTATTAAGCTTAGGAATGGAGGAGAAATGTCTCTCCCTTAACCAAAAACGACAGACAGAATAAGAAAAGAAGAAAAAGAAAATGTCTCGTAAAGAAAAGAAAAGGGCAATGGAAGAGTCGGGGGTAAGGAAGAAAAAAAAAAAAAGTTTTTGTTCAATAAGTACAGGAGAAGAATACAGATAGGCTAATCCCGAAACTATAAGAGAGGAAAAGAACAAGATCCGGGAAAGACTTGCTTGCACCAGGGCAGATGGTATCAAGCAGGGAAAACAAAGAAGCCCCAGTAGGGAGGGGAGGCCAGCGGAAGAGAGGGAAGGAGAGGGAAAGACGGAAGAAAGAAAAGAGCAGGTAGGGAAAGACAGGACGAGAAGATAGCAAGAGGCAACACGCGAGAGGAAAGGATCGTTGGAGGATACAAATAGTAACTGGACGGTCGAGGAAGAATGACGGTGTGGATGCGAAAGCAGCAGTCGAGAACCCAGACTAGCCGGACCCAAAGCTACTCCAAGCTTGGTTGGCTTCGGAAGGCGAAAAATAGGAATCGGATCCAGCTGAACCAGAAGAAGGGGGATGGGATAAAATAAATTGAATTTATTTATTTATTAGTTCTTCTATATGAGCAAGAAGAAGGATAATTAAAATTAAATCAAATGATTTAAATCATAGGAACAGTCGCCCTTCATTTTTCCTCTTTTCTTCCAACGGTCGGTTGGTTTACTTTACTTCTTTTTTATTCCAGTTCATTTCAATTTTTCTCTATTTTATTTTCTGAAATTCTTCGAGGATGATCAGATGCAAAATCGGAGGTTTTTATTTTATGCCTCTTGCTTTTTCTTTTTCGTTTTTTTCAGCTTTTTCGTCCTTTTTATTATTTTTTTTTTTTTAATTAATTTCTCTTTCCCCCCATATTCCTTTGCATGCTGTTCCTCCCCACCATTGCTTAAATGTTACGTGTCGAGGAGCAAGGTGTGGCTAAAACAACCCAAAGTAGATAAATTAGAATTCATGGGGTGTTTTCTTGTCTTTCTTTTTCCAAAAGGCGGAGAAAAGGACGGTGTGCTGAAATGTATGATCAAACTACAGTGTTGTTTTTGTTGTTGTTTGTACGTAGCTGTTTGTTAGTCCCATGAAGTAAGTACCTGCTGAGGCCTGTTCATGGCCACTTTCTCGGGTCTGGGTGGATTTGACCAAATGATTCGTGCCCAATGGGAACAGGGGTTGGAATGAAGGTTCGAGTCTTGGGGTAAAGGAGGACAATTCGCCCGACGACGGTCACGAACCCTAGGAAAGCATTCAGGAAAGCATGGAAGCCTGTAATAAATGAATGACTACTAGATACTCTGCATAGAGTAGTTAGCTATACTGTGGGGTACAAGAAAACAACTCTTGAGGCTTGATTGCTACATGATTCGAGCGAGACATACTTGTTGCATACATACATGATACCACACACACACATAGCTGCTACTACCACTGCGTACTGCGATAAAGTTATTATCCTATACTACCACCAGCTGCTAGATACTCCGTGCAGTAGCTACTAGCCAACCTGTGGGTGGAAGGGTTGAGATCGTTTGTGTAACCCTCGATGGAAGTGAAAGAAGAAACAGAAATCGACGATCATTTCGGGGCTCAGATGCAATACACCCACTGTAAAAAGACGAAAAGAAAAGAAAAATAAGGGAAAGGCCAACAGGAGGGGGGTGGAAAAACTCAGGGCGTAAGGATAGTGGTGTGGTCGTGACAGATCTCGATGGAGGAGGGCGAGGCGCAGATCGATGCGAGAGGTAACCCGCAGCGGACGAATGATGAAGGGCCTGGCCTGCAACAGCAAATAGCCGTCCGGGGATTCCCTGGAAAGCTGTTTGCTGGGATGCCTGAGCAGCTCCTTGAATGGCTGCTGGCCTGCTGAGAGACAGAAGGACACATCACTCCTGCTGGCCCCCTTCCCACGATCTTACCGGTCCCCTTGGTTAGTATATATGAATATGGATCATTTTTGATTGATCGAGTCCTCATTCATAACCATGATGCAGGAGGACGATCGTTTTGGTGCGTAGGTGGCTGACAGCTTCAGGGACGGTTTCCAAAAGGAAATGTGGTCCAGTCGCTTTCTCCATGGTGAGCGCGAATTCCAATCCAATTTCCTCCCGCAAGGTAAAGTAGACAGCAGCAAAGACCGATCAGGTTAATTGGGAGAACAGGGCGGAGAATTTCTTGCTTCAAGGGCAACGCAACACCATGATCATGGTGTCCGTTATTATCACCCGACCAAAAAGTCCCCTCCTCCGCTGTATGACCCAGCAGTCGGTCGCAACAATGCGGGGAGGGCTGGAACCGATCATGTTCTTCAAGTTGAGGATGCATCGCCATTGCCATTTCGACGAGTCATTCCTGGTACTAGTCTTTTAGCTTGTCCCACCCAGAAGTCCCGAGTGTCCGGATGATCTAAAACCGCGCCTGGAACGTACGGCCCTGGATGCGCCTCTTCCCCTCCACCCTCCTTAAAGTAAGACATGACATGACTACCACTGCCTATCGGTTTCATGGGGCTTGAGTAACTTATTTCTGGTGTTGCATGGTAGAGCATCCGATAGGTGGATACTGACCAAAATAAGCACGTTGCTGGGGGATGGTCAAACAACCCTCGACAGCTCCAGCTGTAGCCTCCCAGCTGCACTGTTTATCCTCTAACTTATTTCTTGACAGTCAAGTTCTGTTGACTGACTAACTAACTAGTTAACTAAAGTGCCAGAAGCTAACTACTTTGTCAGTAGTCGTCATGGAGCCGATCGAACCCATCCACCGTTGAATCCACACCGCCTTAAAACTACCTGCATGCAGGTTGGATTTCCTCCAGCCTTTCCCAGTCTGCACCCGTCCATCCTTCCGTCCATCCAGAACGGTTATCCGAAACCAACCATTCGATGGCTTTTTAACCAACCCATGGTAACCCTCGAGAGTAGCGTCAATCTGGCGATAGATACAAGCTGAATGTTTGTCTGGACGGGCCTAATGCTGTAGTACTTTTGACAATCCCCCTACTAGGAGGGAGGGGGGAAAAGGGAGAAGGAAGGCGCTGGACAAGTCTACTTTTGACTTTGTGAGTTATCAGCTGAACAAATCGAATTTGTAGAATTGCTTTTGTCTTGCTTCGTCCATTCCCTTCTTTCCTGGAAACCGCTGCTTGTGGATGTCTCTGGTCATGGATCTCGCATCTCACTTTCTGATTCTGGGGGAGGATGGACGAAATAAGGAACCAAGATGGAGAGGGATATGGCACGCTAAACCCACTGAGGAGCTGCACATCACGGGGTGTTGCCACGCTGGAGTGGGTTACCTAATAATACACTAATACACTAGTACACTAGTAGTACCCAGTACACCAGCTCCGAAACCGGACTAGACTCCATCGGGAGGGAAAGGCCCGGATGGGAAATTGAGGTTCAGATTATGGATCGGGTGTCAGAAGCAAAGGGTGGGAATGGACTACTGTCATGTCTTGATTACGGCTATACAGCTCATGATTATCGTTCTGTAGAGGCTATAGTACAATTGAAGAAAGCTTAGCAGCAGAAGAGCTGTGTTTTTTGATAACTCCCAGTAGACCTCTGAATCGTGAGAGCTTTGATCAACTGAAATACTACAGGCTTAACCGTTACAACCGACCAAAGATAGTCAACTCTATGATGGTTCTCACCCAATATATATTTCACCATATTGTCAAGTTACTACCAATAGTACTAGTGGTAGAGATTTCAAGTCTACTAAGTAGCAGTACTAGTTAGTAGTATAATCTCCACTGCATAGTTTACTTGCATGGTGCAGGCTGCCTGAAATTATCTCCACTCAATTCATCTTTTTCCGTGAGGGAACTGAGCTGGAAAGTCACCAGTTCAACCTCATCACAACACAAACTACCGAACTTCAGCCCATCCACATCCTCACCTCACCCAAACTCCGCCTCCCCCTTTCCTTTTTTTCTCTTTTCCCTTTCCCCACCACCACCACCTTCTTCTCTTTTCAGCAACAAGTTTTGTACTTGTCATCGGAAACCCATTCGTTCACCAGGATGGAGCCCCGATCGCTGTCGGGTTAAAGTGTTCTGTGGCTGAGTGTGATCTCTTGACACCTCCAAGCTGGCAATGATGTCCGACTTCTCTCGATTGCCCGCCCGAGGCAGCTCCTCGCCAGCACCGCCGCCTCCCCCACCACCAGCTCCCGTGCAACAGAGTCACAAATATTCCAACCGCGCGGCCAGTGCTCTGGCAAGATTCGCCCAGCCCTTCTTCTCAGGGTCTCGACCTCCTAGTCCGCACACGGCGGGAAGTCGTGCAGATTTGTCTGCTGGTCCCCGTTCAACAAGGTCCAAGTCATTGTATAGCTCACCTTTCCCTTTTCCCCCTCCTTCCCTTAGCACACCTACATAAATCACTCTTTATTAGCTACCCACTTTGTTTTACTTACTACTAGCTGACCCTCCCCCCCCTACCCGCTTTGTCCCTTGCTTCTTTATTTGGATCCCCTCCAGGTTCACCCGATTCGCCGCCTTTCACACGCTTTCCATGCTAGATCATGCCCCATCTTCTTCTTGCGAGAATCTTTACAGACCCTCATACTGGGAGGAGGAAAAAGTAAAAGAAGAAAGAAATTGATCTCTAACATCTTCCCTAGACCTGGAGCATCCCAGACTGTTACGCATAAGACTGGTATCCCTATTGCCGCTCTAGATATCTCCCCGCAGCGGACACATGCAGTCATTGGCGGAAAGGAGATTTTGAAGACCATCCGCGTCTCGCCTGATCATTCATCCGAGGAATTCAATCTCCGCAATGCTATCATCAGTTATTCATCCACTCATCATGGTGGAAGCGGACTCTCCGCCCGGCATAAAGACCAGCTGACTGTGAGAGATGTCAAGTGGTCACATGGTGAGTATGACCAGATTATTGCCACGGCGGTGGCCAATGGCCGCATCGTGGTGTATGATCTGCGCCGAACTGGCTTGGAATGTTGCCGATTCCAGGGCCACAGCCGCCAGGTCCATCGGTTAGCCTTCAACCCGCACCATGCGTCATGGCTTCTGTCGGGGAGTCAGGATTCTTCCATTCGAATGTGGGACTTGCGGACAGCTTCTGCGGAACGTGGCGTCTTGGTGTGTGGGAGTCTGGATCTGTTCCACGGTAACAGTGATGCCGTCCGGGATATCAGGTGGTCGCCAACCGACGGGGTCATGTTTGCGACTGCAACAGACAGCGGAGCGATACAACTGTGGGACTGCCGCAAGTCAAGCGCTCCGTTAATGCGGATTACTGCCCATGACCGCCCGTGCTTCTCGGTAGATTGGCATCCTGATGGGAGGCACATCGTCAGCGGTGGTACGGATAGACAAGTGAAAGTCTGGGATTTCTCTTCTTCTGCCGAACGCCGACAGAAGCCGACTTTCCAGTTTCGGACCCCTCAGGCAGTCCTCAACGTCCGATGGCGTCCACCTTCGTGGGCTAGGGAGCCGGAGGGCTCTGGTGATTGGCAGTCATCTCAGGTAGTGACATCTTACGACAAGGAGGACCCGCGAGTTCATCTCTGGGATCTCCGCAGGCCACACATACCGTTCCGCGAATTCGATCGGTATGATGCTCACGCGACCGACTTGCTCTGGCATTCCAAGGACCTGTTATGGACAGTAGGTGAAGCTGGCGCTTTCACTCAAACTGATATTCGATACGCTCCCCAGATTATCAATCAACGCCCGACATGCTCGGTGGCTTGGAGCCCGAGCGGCGAAGTCCTAGCCTTCGCCCAGAAACGTCCCCAGCGTAGTACTCTAGGCCTCAGCACTAATGAGTTCGTGGGCCCTCAGCACGAAGAGCACAATAGTGGTGAGGTTTTGAGTCAGAGCCCTGCAGAAGATGTTCTCGATGAGCCTTCGTTCGCTTCTATCCGCCATCGGCATAGCAAGTCGAGTAGTGTTCGGCCGTCTAAATCCTTAGGCAGTACTCCGCCTGGTGTGGGAGATCTCATTCCTATCCTCCCACTAGAAAAGGTCCTTTCAAAGATTAAAACCCCCGAGGCACGTCAGATCGGAGCAGTTGGATGTATTCCGGGAGCTACACTGGATCGAGATACCTTTCAATACTTGGCGTCCAATTACTCTTCTTTGCTCGATGGTGCTGATGCAGTCCGCATGGACAAGCTATCGTCCATGCTCGAATCACTCAACCACAATGCACAGTGCTCGGAGGACGCTTCTTTGCTCAAGCTAGCACAGACTTGGCGCATTATCAAATTTGCTGTCGTCCAAGAGCTCGAGACCAGAGCCAGAGAGCAACGTCGCAACTTAGACAAGGGGCCTCGCACCATGAAGAAAAAATCATCCAAGGAGGGTCCTGTTTCAGAGAAACCACGGGTGATTGAAGATGGGAGACAGGACAAATTGAAAACCCGAATGTTCAAGGGTGTGGTGGAGAACGAAGCATTGAAGATCCCGCTGACAGACTCTGAAAGCGCGTCAAATATGACGACGCCTCTCGCGCAGCCATTGCCTGACTCCCCTCTTGGGTCTTTGGACAGCACGACTTCGCATATGACGTCTTTGAATGACAATACGGAATTGAAGCCTCTTCCACCGTCGGTTCTTAGCTCTAATCAGGGCACCATGACTTCAAATGATTGGTCATCGATGTCAGATGTCGATCCACAACCAGTCCATCAATTACAACACCGTCAATCTGATGCTAGTGAAGATGTCTCTATCCCACCTGACAGTTTGCCTTCCGAGCCGGGACGTGCCCCGGTGCTTCAAGATACTGCGGATGACCAAAGATCTGCACCTCGAGCCATCTCTGGCAGAGCAGATTGGCATTTGAAAACGCTTGTGAGCGCTTCAAAGGGGACTTCTGAAGTAGACGAATACGATCAGAAAATGGAGGACAAGAAAGCAGCTATTCGCGACTATAGGATCTTTCCCAAGAAGGTCCTCTCACTAGAATCTCCTATGGTGCCTATTAAACCGCCTGGCTTCCACCGGCATGAATCATCGGAGAGCTTCCCTATGTTCTCAGCCTCAACAGAGAGCTCCCATCCGTCCAAATCAATGGCCACCTCGTTATCTTCGGCAGCGAGACTGTATGAGGCTCACGAGGATGGAGATGTTGGCCAGGAAGCGGCTACTGCAGAGCCTAGTAACAGCTATGTTGAAGTCAAGGAGTCAGTCCCAAAGGCTACTTCTGTAAACGAAAAAGAAACCCAGGGCTGTGAAACACTGGAGGGTATCCCTGATTCAGAGCATATACACCTCGAGCGACCGTCTAGCCCCCCACCTCTATTGAAAGAGAGTCGGCCCTTGAATGTTCCTAGTCAAGAAGATGAAGATTCAGTGCACAACAACCCGACAGCCACTGGAGGAACTAGTGAGTTGATTGGCGTGACTATTCCTGTCAGTCCTGACGTGACAACGAACAAACCCTGGAGCGTCGAGATGCTTTTTAAAGAGGCAATTCGACACTACCATAGTGGGAACCATGTGGACATTCAGTCTGCTGCACACTTACTGCAGAAGCTACGAATCCTTTTTAAAGATTGCGAAAAGATTCTTCCCGATGAGGAGGCAGAATACATATTCAGAGCTTACAACGAGCAGTTGGTGCGCCAATCAATGTACATTGAAGCTGCTGAGCTTCGGCTTTTATGTGTCCCATCTTACCCAGCAGTCTATGAGTACGCCCAGGGCGACACTTTCATGAACGTGTTCTGTTTCACATGCAAACGTCCTTATGAAAACCCAAAGAGCGATAATACGCGCTGTCATCGTTGTAACACTCCTCAGGAGCCATGCGCTATCTGCATGAGCCTTGATCCGCCACCTGAGTGGGTTGCAGAGCTCTCGAATGCATCCGCTTATTCAACTCCAGACCTGACTTCTGAGGCTACATCACACGCACTTTCATCATCACATTCTTCATTGAAAACCGAACCCATTCCCCAGAGTGAATTGCAGCATCTGGATAATCTTCTCTCTGATCCATCACAGCGCCCTCGACCAAAAGGATCCACACTCTGGACCTGGTGCCAGGGCTGCGGCCACGGGGGCCACTTGGCTTGCATAAGCACATGGTTAAATGATGTCTCCATCAGTGAAGGAGGTTGCGCTACTCCGGGATGCATGCATGATTGCGGTCCTGGCCCGCGTCGCGAACATAACCGCTCCGTCCTCCTAGAGGAATCAAAGAGACGTGACACTGCCGGCCGAAAAGCCGGTGTAGGCTTAATCAAACGAGATACGTGGACTAAAGGAGAAAGCAGGGCCGTCGAGAAAGTTCGCGGCATGCTAGGCGTTGGTGCATCAGCTGGGAGCGCTTCCACAACAGCTACCACTGCAACAAGTGGTGGGCCTAGCGGGGCTTCCACTAGCACTATGTCGCCCAAGAAGGTGCGTTTGATAACGCCCAGTGAGCAGGGTCAACCGCGTCGAAGTGGTCCGCGAACTAGTCTTGGAGGCATGAGTGGGCTCAGCGGCTAAGGTAAGGCGCTTTTGGTTCCCTCCCTAGATGTATTGTAGGGGATCCGAACTATGTTAGTTTTTCTCTTTTTCTCGAATTTGTTTGTTGAGCCTGCTATTTTGCGCTTTTGCAGATACCCGATCGTTGTCGGTTCTGGCGTCTCGGGGGGTGAAGTCTAGATTGCGGTGGCCTGATATGTCTGATAGCGCTGGTTGATGAGCAGGTATTTTATATGTGTGAGTGTGTGTGCGCTACATAGAATCGATTTCACATGCTGGATGCTGTTTCAATACGAAGAAATGAAATTTCCACCACCTTTTCGTCCATCGTAAATACTCAAAATCATCAGGACAAAACCTACATACAGCGCTTCTTTGTTCCTCACAACAACATATACAGCAAGCAAGGAAATATGTCCAGAAATCATCCCCTATCTCCATCCCGGTCATAATATGTGATCTTGACCAAAATCCCTCTCTTTTTTTTCCAAGATCGACTTGGTATGTACAGTCATCACCCCTGATCATTATTACAAACACCCCCCCCCCCCCCCCCCTTCCCCTCCCCCTGAAACTGCTGTGGTAAATCCCCCCGATCAGACAACCACGTACCTATCCGCCCTCAGGTAGGATATAAACAGATAGCTCCAGCAGAAAAGTGGCTTAAAACTTCCGCTTCTTCTTAGCAGGCGCCTTGCTCTTAGCTTCAAGCTGTCTCTTCAGCTCTTCCCGCTTCCTGTCCGCTTTTTCTTCCTCTGTTTCTTCCTTCTCCGGCTCTGCGGGTTGTTCGTCCAGAGCTGGTGCAGGGGATGGTGGCCCTGAGGACTGCGTTGCTGTAGCTGCTGGCGACGACGCGGCTTGTTTTTCTCTCTTCCGGCCGCCTATCACTCCTAGTCTGTGGGCCTTGGTCGATGATTCGGCTTCTGGTGGCGGTGATGATGGTGGGGAAGCTTGCCTTGCTTTGCCCTTACCACCTATGACGCCAATCCCGCGGGGTTTTGACTGGAGTTTACTGGATGATTCGGGATTTGGTGACGCTGGTGGGGAGGCTTGTTTTTCGGCTTTCTTGCCACCTATCATACCTATTTTGCGGGGCTTTGTTTGACGGTTTGAGGGCGGCGGTGAGGGTGATGGGGAGGGATGATTGTCGTCGTGGTCGTCGTCTGTCTCGGAGGCTGTTTGGTCGCTGTCTGCTTGGGTTGTGGGGGTCTTGCGTCTTGGTATCGCTGCGTCGACATCTGCTAATGCTGGTGATGTTTGAGGCGATTCTGGTTGTGGGGGCTGTTTTCTGTTGCCTCCGATTGTTCCAAGGCCCCTGGAAGTGTTTCGTGATGCCGGAGACTTCGCTGTACTTGGTCCCCCATTTCGATCTTCAAGGTCATCTTCACTTTCTGTTGCTGTGTCCTCGCCTGGCCCTGAAGGGGGAGTTTGGTGGTTTGGCTGAGGTCTGAGTCTCGGGGGGGTCTCTTGTCGCTGAAATGCGAAATATGAATACAAGGCACTGCATTGCGTGGAAAGGTACGTACCTCAAAATCATCGTCATCATCATCGTCAAAGTCATCCTCAGTCTCCAAACCACCGTCCGTAGTGTCCATGTTCGTCGAGTCCTCCGGGGTCCTGGCATCTACGGCTTCGGTGTTATTGTTAACGGTGGACATCTTCCTCCACCATCCTTCTGATGGCGCGCTGAGATCTTCGAGTAGCAGAAGATTATCATCAAGGGTAGAATCTTCTGTTTCTTCCAAAATGGTGGATGCGAATCCGGTCTCAGATGTTATCGCGTTGTTCTCCTCAAGCCAGGCATCCTCATCGAAAGGTCTCGCTCCACTAACATACTTGGCGGCCTGTGACTGTGTTGAGCCCTTGTGGTTGGCCCTGAGTCCAGGAATACTAGGGAAGATAGTGCTGAGATCAAGCCCGACGGCTTCAAGCTTATCGAGTAGCTTTGACAGCAGCCAATCCTTCCGTTTAACAACTTCGATTAGTTCCCGCTGGCGCAACTCCCAGGCAGCCTCAGACTTTATATGCGGGATAAGCAGTTGAGTAGTCGAAAAGCGCTGTTTCTCTCTAGCCATGTAGAAATTCCACTTCAGAGGCTCAAGTGGGGCCGGTAGGCTTGTTGTAGTGGTCAGGTGTAGAGTATCATTCTCCCGTCCACGCCTTAGTACAGTGCTGGTACCCGGGTCATTGCGCAAGGCCTCCCCTAATTTCTCCAGAAGTATATTGAACTGATCTATATCTTGGCTGGGGTCAATTGTCGCATCCTCTTCAACGGCTCTTCCCAGAATATGCTGGCGGTTGGGACGCTCGGACCAAATATACGTGAGATCGGTTAGGTACAGCTCATATCCATCTCTGAAAAGGGTGTATCTATAAAATAGAGGTGGCGCAGGCGCACGATTTGATATGTGCAATTTCTGCCACCGCGCAGACATCTCTCGAGTGTCGCTTGCGGGTGTTTTGATGGGTGGTTCCAGAGTAAATAGATGGAAAGGTGTGGGAAGCTCCTCCAGGCTTCCCTCCCGCGGTGGATCACATGGAGCCGCTCGGGGCACGTGGCCATTAGGGAAACTTTGCCGGTCGCTATACCTCCCATCCTTGGCGCGCGACCACCCGTTTCTCCAGAAAGCTTGGAGGAAACTATGTCAGACCTCGCGGTTCTGGGCCTCTTCGCATCCATCTTTGAGATAGTTAACAACTGATCTTTCGTTACTCACCGATACACTTGGTTTCTTCGGAAACCACGTTGAAAAAGCGCCATAATGGCATATCGAATGCCCGATCGCACGGGTTCGAAGCGAAGTCGGTCTCGATCGCCCTCCTCGCGCCATTCCCCAAAAGCCCCGCGCAGATATGACGAAACGGATCGGTATCGCGATAGAAGAGATGGAGATGAGCGGGCATCGCAGAACCGGCCTCGGAACATGAGGGATCAGGTCCGACTCAATCAGCTTCAGGAAGACGAGCAAGTGCGGGAATGGGTGGCGCAAGAGGACATTTTCGTTCTCAAACAGGCGAAAAAGAAGGCAGAGATCAGAGTGAAAGAGGGACGGGCAAAGCCGATTGACTGGCTCACTGTCACGTTACGGGTGATTGACCCGACAAGGAACCCCCTTGACGATGAGATTGCGGACTCGGAGCTCGATATAGTAGATCCGGATGGTGTATTCGAGGGACTATCCCAGGACCAGCTACTCGACTTGGAAAAGGATATCGACACATTTTTGAGTCTTGAGAAGAACTCGCAAAATAGGGATTTCTGGAAGGTATGGTTCTTGCACTATGGCATGCTATCTGGACTACGGGCTAACTTACTGTCCTTATTGCAGACCATGAAAGTGATTTGTCGAGACCGTCAGAAGACCACCGCCCCCGAAGGTCGTGCGCTTAGCTCTGTGGCCGCAGATATAAACAGATTATTGAGTCCTAAGTCTTACGAACAGCTACAAACACTTGAGATACAGGTCAGGAAAAAGCTGGACTCCAACGAGCCTATCGATACCGACTACTGGGAGGAGCTTCTGCGCAGCCTTACTGTATGGAAGGCTCGGGCGAAGCTGAAGAAAGTCTACCAGGCCGTTATAGACGAGAGGGTTCGTGGGTTGCGTAAACAGCAGTCTGAAGAAGCTGCATCTGTGCGGGCCAAGCTGGCCCCTCTGGCGCCAATTATCCAAGCAGCACCAGATGCGGTTGATAGCGGGGAATATCGTGAACTCGACCCTGACCCATTGCTTCAAATCCGACCGGAAGATAAAGTCTTGGAGATAGTGGACGAAGATGCATTCCTTAACCAAGTGGTAGGCTACACTTCCTCCTGCACAATGTTGCCGATACTGACCTCTTCGTAGGCTCGCGAGCGACAGAAGATTTTGAAGATGGGCTATGTCCCTCTCCGTCAACGGCAGGCAGAAAAGCCATCGGCGCTTCCCATCAACCAAGCAACGACCGCTCCAATTGCCACAGCCTCGACTCGATTCTCCTCGATTCCTAATGAAGACTTCTCACAGGCAACCAAGGCGCTCTATGAGCGAGAGTTGGCCAAGGGGGTCAGTGAAAACGAGGAGATTTTTACCGGTGAGGAAGCTGTGAGCACAACTTCCCAGCCACAATGGGCGAGCAAACACCGACCCCGCAAACCACGGTACTTTAACCGTGTTCAAATGGGTTATGAGTGGAACAAGTACAATCAGACTCATTATGACCATGATAACCCGCCCCCCAAAGTCGTGCAGGGGTACAAGTTCAATATTTTCTACCCTGATTTGATCGACAAGACAAAAGCACCGACCTACCGCATTGAACGAGAGCATGGACGAAAGCGGGGACAATCCTTTGCAGCGGCTGGAGAGGAGGATACTTGTTTGATTCGTTTTATGGCCGGTCCACCGTATGAGGATATTGCCTTTCGGATCGTTGACAAGGAATGGGATTACAGCGCGAAGAGGGAAAGAGGTTTCAAGAGCACATTTGATAAGGTATGTCCTGGACACAAGGAAATTAGACAGGAAGAGTCTTACAGGAGATCTAGGGAATTTTGCAACTGCACTTCCAATTCAAGCGAGTGAGTTATTCCGTGTCGCTCAGGCCCTAGCATCTGGCATATACTGACAATGTTTCCCAGATATACTACCGGAAGTAATTTGTTGTCGCTCGAAGGATTTGTACTGGACTACTGTGATGTACAGTGTTGGTTGGGATGGGACTGACGATCTTGAAGGTTCCACCACGCTCGGGGTCCGTTGTCCGTCACCGGCCCGCCTACCGCAGAGGTCAACCTTATTGGGCTGGAAACTTTAACTCCCTCCTACGGCATTGGATCCCATCTCGGCCAAGCTAGGATATATCATATTGATATGAAACTACATTATCGGATGTCGCAGATCAAAGTTTCCACATGCGCGTAGCGGGCCATGCTTAAATGAACCGCATTCCTTCATCTCTTCCCCATTGTGCCTTGCGATCTCTATCCCACTCCGTGGAACCCGCCACTGGTTCCCAACTTGTCAAATGAGTAGTCTCGCCATCTGGGGACTGTCGGTCTGCCTATTAAATGGGACTTAATGCTACATATTTCTAATCTTATTTCTAAATAGCCTGGTCTGGCTTGATTCGTATCGCCTCCGCGGACGAAGGAAAGGCCGCAACTGTGGTGCGGGTTTTCCAAGATGTCAAACCATGCCACCCTGCTGCATGTTCCTCTCAGGGTTTCGGCTGGTCGGGGAATCGGGAATGGGTTGGAATATCTGAGAAAATTTGCTCTTTGGTCTTCTATTTTTCCCAAGTGCTGATGGCTCTGGCTAGGAAAGTGGCCCAATGGCAAGTCCTCAGGAGTTCTGCACCCGACCTTTGTTCAGTCGGTCGTGGTTAGCGCAATTATCGCAGGCCTCCTGCAGGTGGCCGCCATTCCCAAAGCTACCCACTCCAACCCCCGTCGGTCCAGTGTTATAGTAGCCCACCAAAGTACGGCCATGACAGGCCCCCTTGTAAGCACCAGATTCATTCTCTTTTTCGGCCCACTGAGTTCATTGGCCACAGCTGCACCGCTAGATCGCTGTTCCACAACCTGATGGCGATTCCCGCGGTAGAAACGAAGCTACTCCGGCCAGAACCTCCCCTAGAGCACATGCTGGAAACAGAGAGAGAGAGAGAGAGAGAGAGAGAGAGAGAGAGAGAGAGAGAGAGAGAGAGTGTGTGTGTGTGTGTGTGTGTGTGTGTGAGTGAGTGAGTGAGTGAGAGGCTTTTCTTTTTATTTTCCCGTTTGATTTTGTCGGGTTACTTTCTAATCTTATCGTTTTATTTTATTCTTGTCCTTATTCTATTTTTATTTTTTGTATTTTTCCACTTTATCTTATTCTTTTTTTTATTTTCCCTTCTTTTAATTTCACGTTCAAGTTCTATTCAAGTCATTTTCGTTCGCGGGTCATATTTTACCATTTTACCCCAATTATCGTTTCTTTTGCTGCTTCTGGGGTTCGTCGGGCAAATCTGCCTCCATTTTATACATAGAGCCACGGTTGTTTGTCAGGAAAATGCATCGCGCTGGCTGGCTTCGTGCAGCAAGGAAGAAGGAGGGAGAAACAAAAGTAAAAAAAAAGAAAGAAAAAGAAAAAACAGAGAAGAATATCTTATGAGCTGGCATTTCTTTCGCCTCACAGCTCCCAGTGAACTATAGAGTCTCCTCGTCCTGAGTGGTCACACGTCTTTTATATTTATTTTCTAGCCAACCCCTCTTGCTTGACCTCCCCATCTCACAGGGCTTTCTTCATCTCCCTGGCACGTTTTGTGTACCCTCGCTTCCCCATCTTACTCTTATTCTCCTTGTATTGATCTCTAGGCATTACCTTGTCAGGCCAGAGCTTCTGAGACGGATCGTGAGAAGTTTGATTCTTTGTGAGGACGACATGGATCGTTTCTACCCCCCTCATGGCTTACCCTCGGATTCACATCCATTTGGCCGTGGGCTTGGTGATTTCACCAGACAAACAGAGACCCCTTCCACTTCCGTCTCGGATGGCGTTCGTTTGGACCCTTCTCACCATCGTGATCCCTGCTCGATAATCGGGAACTGGACGTGTTCCAGCTCTGCAACTAGCCCTGGAGAGCCGACGTTACTGTCTCCTCAGCACCAATATCCATGGAAGATGGCACTGCCCCCATCACTACCAGCTCCGAATTCTCTACCGGAACGAGGGTTGCCTCGCTTACTTCCATCTCATCGCCTTGAGACACCTGCCACACCGTCCTCGTTGGCGGCAGCTGGTGGCCCCAGGATGAGGCAACTTAAGCCCGAACTACGGCGCCTTGAGGACAGAAGAGCACCATCAGACTGGCTACGTGAGCCAGGATCCATCTCATCATGCTCGCATGAGTCTACTTCTTATCGCACACCGTCGGGGATGTCACGGTCAGATGCTTGTGAAACGGCTTGTCCTACAGCGAGCTTGCCACCACCGTCACCGGCAATCTCGGCGCTAACCTACCCTTCGCTGAAGCTGGAAACGCCGGACTCTCCCGACAGTATTGATGATAAACCGTATTCTAAGCTTATCGAAATGGCCCTCAAGACCAATCCGGAAATGAAGCTGTCCCTTCAAGGGATTTACAACTGGTTTGAACAAAACACAGCAAAGGGGAGAGATCTCAGCTCGAAAGGCTGGCAAAACAGTGTACGGCACAACTTGTCTATGAACGCAGTGAGTCCGCCTGATCTTCCTCCTTTCCTTGCTTCATTATTGATCACTGGATACTAAGAACACATTACTATACTATAGGGCTTTGAGGCAGTCCGGGAAGAACCGATACCCGGAAAGAAAGCTGTGAATTACTGGCGCTTAACGACTGAAGCCATCAAGAATGGCGTCCAATCCACCACCCGGTACAGGAAGCAGGCGAGTTACAGAAAAGCCTCGAGCTCGGATCCACCGGCGCCTCAACGCCAGCGATCCGGGGCCAAGGGAGGGAAAGCTACTAAAATCAAGTCAAAAGTTCGTGGGCGGATGAGCGAGGACGAGTTGCCCAAAGGCAGGTACCACCCACGAGTGACATCACGACCGCGACCGACGAAGAATGTGTTCACTCATTACAATACGACAGCGGGAGCGTTGATGGGGATTACAGTCATGTCACCTTTCCATGTCTCCGGACTGACCACGTCGGGGACTCGCTTATCCAACGAGCCATTCGATTTGGGGAGCGTTGTTGGCTGCGCAGATCCCGCTCCATGTCCTCCCCTTTTTTGCGACATGGCGGGACCAGGGCCCGACTGTGTTGCGTTGGACTCAGGCTTTCTCGGCTGGGGAGCAGCCGTCCACTCGTTTCCTACTGGCTTGCTGGCTGGCCCCGGAATCTCCACGGATCTCCAGATGGGAGTATAGCAGAAGCTCGGTGCAACAACACTAGATCGATAGAAAGACTTTTGGCTGACTTGCATAGTTGGGTGTCTTGTACTTGATTGATAGCCTGCCTGGCTTGGGGTCTTAGGGCGATGCATTGTCCCGTATCAAAGTTTCGATTTTTCTCTCCTTTATTAATATTTCCTTCTTCTGATTATCATCACTACCCTATCACGATCCAATTATCATTTCTTATTCATCTGACATTCGATCTTTAAGTCATATGTAAACTTGTCACTGTCTTCCTCTTACTTATCCTGAGGCCAAGTAATAAGGTGCCACCCTTCATTGATCTTGAACAGGGACTCATCAAGAGTGCGAAATGCGAAGAGCTGTAGCGCTTCAAGTTCACAACCATTTTCTTTTCTTTTCTTTTTCTTGTATTATTCTTATTTTATTGTCTTATACTTAATATTTATTATTTATTGTTCGATTTTCTATGTCTTATTTCTCTTTAATCTATTTAGCTAATTATTTATTTATCCTACTTCAATTTTCCTCTTTTTGTTTCCCGCTAAGACATTCCGGGCCTGATATGGTGGGTTACCAAGCGGAACGGGTGTAAGGAAATGGTGGGAATATGCAGGCCATGATGCTAACGCCAACCGTGATAAATGCATGATCGCCTATAAGGCAAAATGCACGCATAGAGAAAAAATTGGTTGAGAAGCATGAGACACGAACGACTTGGCTCAACCGGACCCCAGCAAGGATGCTGCTATATCTGATTTCATGTCAACGTCGGAGCAGCACAAATCACGAGCTGTTTGATGGGCTTCAGGGCGAAGCTGGGCTCGTCCGTTTCCCCCTCAGGCTGTCAGAAAGACACAAAGTCAAGAAAGTCTGGTAGCTCACCTGCATGCCCTGCATGCAGGCAGCATCTCCGGCGTATCTTCGTTCTTCCACCCTTCCATCCGCCTTTCTTTCGGCTCCAGTACTTTTTTTTTTTTTTTTCGCGCCAAAATTTCGTTTATTTTTAGTCCATCGATTTGCCCGTTATCCTTCCTTCAATCGGAATGGGTGCCCAAGGGATCTACTAGTTTCCAAGCCCATCGCTCTTCCAAATCTCCTGCTGCCCCTCCTTCGTCTTCCCCTCCCCACGGACTAGACGCGACTAAGCCTTTCGTCCCTTGTCACTTGCTTAGCGACCACTGCCATCGTCTCCTCTTCCTCCTCTCGCTACCGACGACTCATAATTGCGTACAGCACTACTTATCATCCGAAGGACTTGTCGGATCTAGACACTCTTATTCGATGGAAGAAAGAGCCGCCCTCCTCTGCTTCCAATCAGGAACCGTGACGCGGCAGGTCTGCAATGGTCTTGTCCTTCAATCTCTCGTGATTGATCTTCATACTTACCCACGCGGTCAATTTCCGTTTTAATTGGACAGTAGTAGGATATCAGCATTGCTTCTTGCCAGTGGCATGATACAAACCTAATTAGTACCTGACAGGCAGCACCCTAGCTTCGGTTGCTGCACTTTTTTCTTTCTATCTCGAACCGCTTATGCTCCCCAGCTGTCTACTGTCCTCACCAACAGTAAAGGTCCAGAGTATCGATTTTAAAGCCAGCAAAGTCTACGCATTGCAAGCACTCTAGTAGCAATAGCTACTGACTTAGCTTCCTGTCTAGTGCGCGACTTTCTCATACACCCCCGCCTTCGGTCTCCATATTTCGGAACGGGTAGCCAACGAGCAGGATGGGAATGGTTTGAAACAATAAGCAAGACCAAGGATTCGGACCACCGAGTGCCCGCTCATGAGACACGGCTGTCCCCCAAAGAACCCATGTTGCCAAGCATACTGGCTTGGAATGGTCGTCTGCAGGATGAAAAGGACGGGGCCTACGAGGTTATGAAGGGCACTAGAGTAGCATGCTTGCTTAGCTACAACTAGTCGCTGCATGACAGTCGCAGACGTGTGGAGTTGTTGCGAGGATATTGATTAGGTGGAAATCTCGTTCTACGCCTTAGTAAGAAGGTACCTAGCATGACAACGCCCGCCAGCGATGCAGGCTTGGTGTTATATTCACTCTAGCAGATGCATGAGCTCCTTCCTGCAGACGGTGGAAATCTCGATCCCAGTGGCGGGACTCTTCCGGGGGTCAAATCAACGCAACTGAGAATGATCCGGCGTGACCGGGCTATCTGGCCGGTTGTCGCTCTCTAAGTGTGCGGAACGCTCAGCTCTCAGCTCAGGAGCCAAAAGCTACCTAGCTAATCAGGAGAGACATTGTCTTCCTCCCCATTCCGCATATATCGGGCTGCTTTACCTTTTACTCGCTTGGGAGTAGCGCCCCTCTGCGATTACACCCCGAGAAACGCCGGGACTAGATCGTTGCGGTCCTCTGCCTTGCAAGGTTTCCCTGGTCGTGCATTCCTTTTTCGGCCTCTTGTCTTGGTTTTGCTTTTTCGCTTCTTCTCCGTTGTCTTGGTTTCTTGTCTTTCTCCTCATTTCCTGGGTGGTGCTCCTTCCCTTTCTGCCGTCCTTCACATCAGTGGATATCCTAGGCGGCTATTAAACTTTGAATTTGCGCGCCCGTCTTCTGTAACTTGATGTGACAGCGCGCAAAAAGTACCTTACTGGCCCCATAGCCATTACGTTAATGTGACTTTTTGACTTTCGAAAACGGGCCGCGCCGAATGTTTAAGGCTAATCGGCAACAGTTCGGTGCCCACCAGCATGGACGGTCGGATGGGATGCATCCGCAAGTGAGCACTATGCTCAAGCACGCTTGAGCCATATAAGGTAAATTTCATGTGGCACCTTGACAAGTAGATTAACCAAGACGCTGGGTTGAAGTCTAGAACTGCGTCAGACGGGGGGTCCGATATACTATCACCATGACTTGACTGCCTCTGCATTTTTGCTCTCACATGTCCTTCTCATCACCAACATGGCTGCCGAGATGCGAGAAACATATTTACTACGAGGCGGCTAGCGAGTCATCGGCCAAAGGATCAATGAGATTGTCCCCATCGGTGGGAAGAACTAGTGCCAGTTGTGTCTTCCAAAAAAGCCACGAATACCCCCAATCCCTGATGACATCCGCAAGTTGAATCAGCAGTTGGACGCCACAGAAGAAACCCACTCTCACAGGAACCCACTCACCATTTCGAGTGTTCGCGATTCCTTGCCGCCCTCTTCACCAATCGGCCTTTTGGCCAATAGCAGCAATCATGGCCATTTGAGGACCACAATGCGATTGACATACTTGATAGTTCTATACTCATTCACTTGTGATAAACTGAGGATCTGACTCCGCGTGATCCAATCATCAAGACGATCCAACATACAAAATTACAATGAAATCCGATCGAGTCAGATGTAAGTAGTTGCCTTCTTTGCCTTCTCGATTCGATATCAGACATTGCCAGGATGTATCCTGCATCTTGCATGAAGCGTGGCTCAATCCATCCCCGTGCCTTTTATTTGACCGGGCCATAACGGTGTGATACTTGCCAATCTCCCCCCACCCGATTAACCTACGCCATGCTCCTTGATACTTTAGCGTCGTGATAGACAACGATAGCATCCCTTCAAATTTTAGTATTACTTGACCACGAGATTATATCTGATTTAAGACCGTCACAGCAGCGGCTAAGGCTGGTGTCACCCTCAGCACATGCCAGAAGAGCCAAGCGACTGGGCCAAAGAAGCTTGCTGAGCGTGTCGCTGTATGTATCTGTCGGGCCAGGCTGGGTTGGGTAGAATTTCAATACACAAATCATTCGCATTCAAATCAATATTAGCATCTCACTGTTATGGGGGATGGATTGCAATTCGGACTTTCCGCGGATCTGGTCCTCTCACCAATACTTTCCAGTTCTTTCTTGGGCTATCTCCCTCACCCCGCTTCCAGCAAAGGGTAGGTGCATCATCCTCCATTACACACATTAACAGTGCACCCAGTGATACTCTATTGGAAGCAGAGACGAGTTATTCAAGCCACTCCCTTCCCCCACCTCACATCCCTCTCTTACCGCTTGAGAAGATGGGACAGGACACGGAATGGTACATGGGATTACATGGATGAGGCAGAGAGAAAAAGAGGCAATCGAGCCATCCTCAGCATCATACGTAACATTTTCCCTCATGTATCCTTCGAATAGTTCGAACTTTCAAGATGCAATGAGTGAGCACCAACGCAGGGTGAGAGCAGTCAGTTGAAGTTGGTCTGACTGTTGCGTTGTTGTTGTTGCTGCTGCTGCTGCTGCTACCACTCGATTGGAGCTCAACAATTCCAAGTTCAACCCAGCTAGTTGGTCGATCTCCCTGTCAAACAACTTTATCATCAAACAGCCCTTACTAAATATACTAACTGCCAGTCTACTCTGCCACGAATCCAGCGCCAAGTTAATGTCTATCTACCTACCGCATCTCGTTTCGCTGACAGATGGGCTCAAATAGCACCACCGCAGCAGAAAAACAGCAACAGCAGCAGTAGCCGCAGGGTGGGTTCCTTTCATGTCGGATGATCAACCGACCCCCGAACGACCGATGGCTAACGCGCCTGTCAGACTGTCATTCATGTCAGTCAGCTGCATGCCATCTGCAGGCGAACAGGGGTCCAGGATTATTTCAATAGTGGCCAGACTACTCTGCAGATGTGTGTGAATCTGTCATCATGATGTATGATCCGTGGATTTAGGTTCTTTTGCCGCCAGAATATCTTTGGGGGGGGGAGGAGGGTAAAACAATAATCCATTGATCGATTCTATACTATAATGAATGCTAATTAAGTGCTTATGAGGTCACTCAATATCTTTCACACACACACACACACACACACACAATAAATATGAAGATACTAAAGACAGCCCGAATATTCCGAAAGCTACTAGAGACAATAGGTACTAGGAATAGTGATGGATACGAGGGGATTGGGTCTACTAGGGTGGTGGTAAAACTCTCTCACGATAATCAGACTTAAATATATATATATTTTCCTTCCTCCGATAAATCCCTATCCTTTCGGTCCGAGTTACTCACCTTGTCTTAGGGATGTCCTACGTACCTACCCACTTAGTACCAAATGACTTACTTCGTGTATGTACTAAGTAGCATGATGTGCTGTGCTGGATAAGTAATGCCCAGACATGACAATGCAGCAGCAGTCAAACCACTGCGCGCTAAAAGATCTTACCGCCAGCATATCAATTAAGCCAAACTGCCACCAAACAAACCGAACTTGCTGTGTCAAATCCAAGGAAAAATACTCAGGTATCACAAACATCAAGTCATTCGGCTATGTTTACTACTGATTGCATTTTTCTTTTTTTTTTTTTTTTTTGGCACTTCTCTCTTTCTGAACCAGGTGTCCGGAATCATGACATCCCCGGGTAGTGGGTAGTGGTACTTAGTAGCATTGAGGCTTTTTCCCCTTTCTTTCTTTTTTCCCTCTTCATTTCTTTTCTTAGTGTTTGCTTTTCCCCTTCCCCCCTCTCAAGCCATTTACCTCTATCCTTCCCCTTAAGGGTATGGTAACCGAAGTCGGACGCGCGATGTACGTGCTCCGAGAAGCACGATAAATATGTAGATAAGCAGATAGGTACTTATGTCTCATAGTCCGATAGTTCAGGATACCAAGTTTAGTAGCCTGACTACAAACTCAAACAGTGATTATAATTACATCAACCTTCAACTAGACCCTAGACTCCTGTTGATTGAACTGATCTTGATATGTCGTACTTTTGATCCACACGTGCCGAGTGGTCTCACGGCAAGCCATCGGTTCCGCTTTCGGTTGGTTGTGCAGAGAATGAAATGAACAGGTTACGTTACCTACACACCCTATACACACTTCTGTAACTAGCCTCTTCGTTCGTTCGTTCGATCTAGCCATCCACCATCTACAGTAAGTATTTTGTTCGGAGAATAGGTTTACTGATTGGTTGATGGATATTGTATGCTGCTGGCTTGGACTACTACTTCTTCTGGGCCGCTATAGATAGATAGTGTTATATCTGGTAGGTGTCTTGGGAAAGATTCCGTTTGGATTGTAGATTTTGGTTCATTTTGGTAGGGAGTGTGGGGGGAGAGGTGTAAAGACAATTGTTGAACTGGGGTATTCGCTCTTGGCAATTTGGGCGGTGTATGCACAAGAGCAGACCAGATCAGATATACGGCCTAGGATAATTGGGACTTGAAACATGAGTCTACGGTGTGGTGCGATGCGACGGACACATGATTCACAACATCGGATCCCAGTATGAAGAACCGGCGAACGCGAAAGGGAAACAACACCAAGGCAGAGGGCGAGGACCGCAGCGAGGAGTGAAAAAAATGGAAATCTCATTTCATGAATAGAAAATTCATTCATTGGGATCACGACCCGTACATATTACCCCGTCGTGTCATTTTTTAGCCGCCATTCTGTTCATTGAAGAAAAGAACCATAGACCGAGCCAAATTTTTAAAAATTTTCCATATTCGCTCCTCTAATCACAAAAAACACCATTTATTTGATATGATGATGCATTTAGCGCTTGCCGGCAGCCTTCTCCTGAGACTCCTTGAGGACCTTCTTGACGATCTTCTGCTCCTCAATCAGGAAAGCACGGACGATGCGGTCCTTGACGCAACCAGCGCAGCGGGAACCACCGTAGGCGCGGCTGACGTTCTTCTTGGGGCGGGAGATCTGAGCGTACTCGCGGGGGCGGAGGGCGGGGACCTATATCGGTGGAAAGATGACCATCAGCCATTTTTTGCTCTTCCTTCCTATCCTTTGTATCGCGAATGGTGGTGGTGGTGTTGAATATTGTCGTTTCCTTGTGCGTTGGTCGAAGCGATCGCCCACGCACACACACTCCACCCTTCATCCATCCTGCAGCCCGTTCACACACCACCACCATTCAACATGAATCATTCGGGAGCACTCACACCAGGGAGCTTGATGCCACAGTCACCGCACTTGGGAGCAGTGCCCTTCTTCTTGATGTGAAGGTAACGGAGCTCACCGCCGGGGGTCTTGATGATGCGGACCTGGTTGGACCGCGTGTTGTACCTGAAGAACAAAATCCATCAATACCCTATTCATAGATATCTCGGCGTATATAAAATTTCAAGAGCAAAGCAGCGGTTCATCGCGTCGAAATCGGACAAATCGTTATTGCACTGTAGCGACCGATAACAAAAATTTTGGTGGGAGTGACAAAGGCACGATGGGGGTAGAAACAGAGGGAAAATTCAAACGTACGGGTTCCGGCGGCGCTGCAGAGAAAAAGAACAATAGATCAGTATTCCATTTCATTTAATATTCAGAGATTCAATTATACTCACGTATTGGAGTCTGTTGTTCGCCATTTTGTCTGTCCTTGAACCTCTAGGTCGGTGGTCTCAAGAGATTGGCGGCGGCGTCGTCGGTTGTCGTCGTTGACCTCGTAGAATTCTCGCGGTAATCTGGATTTGTGTGGGTTTCGCTCGGAGCCCTGGGCGGCCGCGCTAGCGCTAATTTGGCGAGAACGCGCTATCCCCAATGCGGACTAGTACCGGCCCGAGCAGAGCCGCCACCTCTTTTCAGACTTGCTTCATCAAACAAGGCAGGAGAAGCAAGAAGAGACTGGAGCAAGCTGTCTTATCACCTTCCCGTCGTGAGAAGGGGATCGTCCAGGAGTGGTTTATCTTCTTCGGGGCAAAGCTTCATTTCTCCGACGCGATTTCTTTTTATCCACGTGTTTTAATTCCCCCCTCCTCCATTCCGTTTTTCGCGTCGCTGAGCTGCAGTCGATGAGCTCGCGATAAGTCACGACCCGTGCATCTTTTGACGCGACTTAGTCACGAAACTTCCAGCCCGTCTATCAGAGCAGAGAGCGTCCTTCATATATACAACCCATTACCATGGCATCATTGCCTCCCCCTCCGCCTCCGGGCTGGGGTGCGTCGGCGCCGCCTTCGATGCCGTTGGCTCCTCCGCCACCGGGATATCAACCGCCTGCGGATCCGACTGTCGCAAAGTTTGCCCAGAAGAAGAATGAATGGCTGCGGACGCAACGGAACCGGTTCGGCGAGAAGAGAAAGGGTGGATTTGTTGAAACACAAAAGGCTGATATGCCCCCGGAGCATCTGCGAAAGATCGTTAGGGACATTGGCGATGTGTCGCAAAAGAAGTTCAGCAACGAGAAGCGCAGCTACCTCGGCGCGTTGAAGTTCATGCCCCATGCTGTGTTGAAGCTGCTGGAGAACATGCCCATGCCTTGGGAATCGGCTAGGGAAGTTAAGGTATTGTATCATGTTAATGGTTGCCTTACCTTGGTCAATGAGACTCCCCGTGTCATTGAGCCCGTGTTCCACGCCCAATGGGCTACCATGTGGGTGTGCATGCGGCGAGAGAAGAGTGATCGCAGACACTTCAAGAGAATGCGCTTCCCTCCTTTCGATGACGAAGAACCTCCGCTATCGTGGTCGGAAAACATTGAAGATGTGGAGCCGTTGGAACCTATTCAGATGGAGCTTGATGAGTCGGAGGATGCTCCTGTCTATGAGTGGTTCTATGATCACCGGCCTCTGCTGGATACTCCCCATGTTAATGGACCGAGTTACAAGAGCTGGAACTTGACACTTCCGCAGATGGCTACCCTGTATCGACTAAGTCATCAGCTGTTGAGTGACGTTGTCGACCAGAACTACTTCCATATGTTTGACTTGAACAGTTTCTTTACCGCCAAGGCACTGAATGTCGCTATCCCCGGTGGTCCTCGCTTTGAGCCTCTGTACAAGGATATCGACCCCAATGACGAGGACTTCAGCGAATTCAACGCCATCGACCGTATCATTTTCCGCGCTCCTATCCGCACGGAATACCGCGTTGCCTACCCCTTCCTGTACAATACCCTCCCGAGAAGCGTAAAGGTTTCTTGGTACTCTCACCCTCAAGTTGTATATGTCCGCACCGAAGACCCTAATCTCCCCGCCTTCTACTTCGACCCCGTCATCAACCCTATCTCCTCCCGGTCCGTCGCGCCGAAGAATATCACTGTCAGCCATGAAGATGAGATTTTTGGTGAAGGAAACAACGAGGACGATTTCGAGCTCCCTGGCGACTTCGAGCCGTTCTTCGCCGAGGAGGAACTGTATACACCCGATACCGCGTCCGCCATTGCCCTCTGGTGGGCTCCTCATCCCTTCAACAAGCGCTCCGGCAAGATGGTGCGCGCCCAGGATGTGCCTCTCGTGAAGCAGTGGTATCTGGAGCACTGTCCGCAGGGCCAGCCTGTCAAGGTCCGCGTCTCATACCAGAAGCTGCTCAAGACGTTCGTCCTCAATGAGCTCCACAAGAAGAAGCCGAAGGCTCAGAACAAGCAGAATCTGTTGAAGACTTTGAAGTCGACCAAGTTCTTCCAGCAGACGACAATCGATTGGGTTGAAGCTGGTTTGCAAGTTTGCCGCCAGGGTTTCAACATGCTCAACTTGTTGATCCACCGCAAGAACTTGACCTACCTCCATCTTGATTACAACTTCAACTTGAAGCCCGTCAAGACTTTGACCACTAAGGAGCGAAAGAAGTCTCGTTTCGGAAATGCTTTCCACTTGATGAGAGAGATCCTTC